TAAAAAATAATAAGTAAATCGAACACTAAATCCTTGAGGAACCTCCTTTATTTGTAGTAAGAGTTCGGGCCCGCAACGAGCCATAAGTTTAGCAGACAAATCCACTGAAAGTTATGGAATTAAGTTTCAAATGCAGAAATGCTATAGGAATTCACAGCTAGTTTCTTTTAAATCCTACAAAATACTAGCAGTTTTGATACGAAGCAACAGTCGGAACGCTTCGAAGATGAGTCATGAATAATTTTTACATATTTATAGACCGATTAGCCTGCATATATAGATACAATGTATAATACAGTTTATATTTTCCCAAAAAAAGTGCACCTACAGCATACAGCTCAGTCGATGGAAGGCTAGGTCGGCGATTCGCGCATGTAATGGATGTATTTGGTGGATGAAAGGAATAATCTTTAAACTTGATTAAAATGGTAGAAAATAACTCGAATATATGTTTTCAAGTCTTAGGTTATTATGCTGTAAGTTTAAAGTATAAGCGTGAAGTGAGGCCTTACATTAATTTGGAGCAATGATGCTAGGTGGAACACGTGCGGACAAATGAATAATTCACCTCATCCAGGGCAACTTTCGTAGCAGCCCCCCTATTCTCCAAATCCGACCTGTTGCATGAGGATGGAGAGAGCAATGTTCGGCCGTTTGTGTAATTGCATTTGGTTTTAGCTAAATACATTCGGCCATCATCTGAATATTATGCGATTTTATCAACTTACGTAGTACAATTTCTAGATGCTGGCTCAGATTAATGATCTCTGTGAGCCTTGACATGTGGTCAATGATACTCTGATTGATAACACTATCCACGTCCATAAGAGACTGCAGCGTCCACTAAGCATGACCATAGATGGCGCGCAATATAAAACAATTTATATATACCTTTCCAAGTACTTTAATACTAAATGTTCTCTAAGCTGCTTTTTTATTTCTTGGTTTAAATTATGTGAGTAATATAGTCGTTTACTCAACGCTCCGCTGTCAACTGCTTCTTCCTCGGGTTAGATCCAATTTCTTCCCCTAATTTATTATAATGCATTGTCCCCCCTATCACATGATTGCCTTATATTTTTTGTAACTGTGTTCTTAAATTAAGGTGCTGATGTTAGATGAATATTTTCGCAGCTGTAGCCTCCAGACCTGCACGAGTGATAGCTGCTTGTATCCCTTGCTTCACAGAAATCTTTACTCAACAGAGGGTAAACCCTTGCTTTTTTAAAGTCGTCACATTTATCTGCATGCTGATACCAGAGCTCCATGCTTGTATGTGCTTCGGATACTAATGAGCTATTGCTTGTTTTGGTCGCACCACCATCTTACTGCCTGCCAAATTATTCGCACGAATTTTAATTGTTTTCTAGGATTTTTACATATTTCGTTGCAATCTTGATCACCCACAATTTATACACATAAATTAACTTTACAAGCATACACCCATATCGTTGTCTAAACTTGATATTTGGATCCTATTAATGTTATGCCTTGTATATTTTTACAACTTTATTGCCGACCAGACCTAAATATATTTGCGATCAAATTTTGCAATAAACTTATCATCAAGGATGCCGACTTTGTTGTTGCTGTAAGGCTTTGAATGAAAGCTCGCAATCAAGCCCCAAATATCTAGAATTTAAAACTATACCTCACCGCACGACCTTACGTTTTTCTAATTCCATCACTTATATGCGCATGAATTTTCCTTTAGCCCTAAGTAAATTTTAAACATGAAATCTGCTGGTTCTGAATCTGCGCCTTAATAGATTAGCAGGTAATCCCATCGAACCATCTCCATTGATTGAAAAAATTTCCTTTTCCAATGAGCCTAACCTATTGTTCCGGATTACTTTTATACTGCTTGTTTAGTTTTCTTATCAAACCAGATTTGCCAACTAGCATATTGACAGTGCACTCTATATATCTGCTCACCAGTCTTATTTTTTTTAGAAACTAGAATAATTACTTAATGCTGCTATTAAGGATAAACTTTGCAATGATTTTTCAAAAAAATTTTGGATATTTTATTAGGTCTTCGTTTTTGTTCTTATGTAATTAATACAATATTTCCGCATCGTGTTTAGTTGTAGTTCTGATTTGCCTCTAGAGCTTCTCCCTATCGTGCTTCCGATGCACTACATTTTGCTTACGGCTAGGTTATTCTGCACCCCAACTACTTTCAAAGAGGATTTTCCTACTATTCGGCCGATTTGCACACTTCAATTTTTTATTTAGACAGCATCTCCTTTTTTTGCCACTTCTTCTTGGTTTGACATTGATGCTTCTTGTTTTTATCTCATGAAATATTGGTGCATGTATTATGATAATCTTCTTATTTTTAGATAAACCCTAAGATGCCACCCATACATGAAACTGTTGTATCAAGCTGGTTGAGATCGCACATAGCTTCTGCTGCTGTATTAATTTTCAGCAAAACGTATTGTTCCTATTGTAAAAACGTAAAATAATATTCCTTATTTGTTTGGCCAGTTAAAAAATACTCTCTTACAAGACAATGTTCGTTTTGCTTCCTTTGAATTGGATGCTCATGGTAAGTAAGATTTTACGTCTTGCTTATTTTCTATAGAAAATGGTGATGAGATCCAATCTGCCTTGTCTAGCATCTCTGGTGTTACTACGGTTCCGCAAGTCTTTATACGTGGTAACTATTTTGGTAAGGATTAGGGAGACTTTATTTGATTACCTTTGCCCTATGATCTTAATTCATATTTCTAGGCGATGGAACTGGTACTCTTCAACTTCACAAGGAAGGAAAACTTGTCGAACAAATTAATAGTCTTAAATATGACTACGATTTAGTTGTTGTTGGAGGAGGTTCTGGCGGTCTTGCTGCATCCAAGGTTTTTTGTCTTAATTTTTTTACTCTTCCCTTATACTATTTTATCTTACTTTTAAATCTAGTAGATTTAACATCGTTTAATTTACAAATTTATACATTTATGGAACCTAAAAATAACTTGGCTGGAATACGTTATTATTTGTCATATTTTTATTGTTTTGACGAGAGCCACTATACGATATATTATTTTTTATTAGGAAGCTTCTAAACTCGGCGCCAAAGTTGCTGTACTTGATTTTGTCAAGCCTACTCCTCGGGGTACTTCTTGGGGTCTTGGTGGCACTTGCGTTAATGTTGGATGCATTCCTAAAAAGTTAATGCACCAGGCTGCGCTTCTGGGTATGTAATTTTACTCTGACCATGGTTAAACTTGTTCGTATTTTTTTCACTGGCTTTATTCTTTAACTATTGTAGGTCATTCTCTTGAGGATGCACCTAACTTCGGTTGGGGGCTTGGGGATAAGAGTAAGCTTATCATTCTTATCAATA